ATCAGAGCACATTTGGGTGAGTACAAAATACTGCATGTTGTGTAAAGCTGGTGTAGCTGTTTGAAAAGAAACCGGGGACATACCTGGACTGTCGGCAGCAGCACTGACTTCAGCTGAAGTGCTCCATGTTGACAGTTCTAAGGAGTTTGTCCTTAGACAAAGCTCTAAGAAGTTCTAAAATTAGAATACTGACCTAAAAATACAAGCTGGTTACATCTCCCCTTTCCCAAAGGCAGTTAAAATTGTTCGACAGTCTTGCAGAAATGGGGAAATAGCCAGTTACATACAGGAAATTCAGCCAAAACTTCATCACGTTCTGTATTTCAAAGGTCAGGTGGTTCTTCTACTGGATTTAACTTTTTTTTTTAATGAATTAAGTATTTTTAGGCTCATTTTCTTCTGTAGTACAAAAATGTATTGACTTTTCCCATTGAGTTTGTAAATCTTAGGTAATCTAGGGTACATTTGGAGTCAGAGTTCTCTGCATTACAACTAAAATCAATGGTCCCACCTTGGTCTGGAGAGAATTTCCAGATTTGTCAAGGAAAACATGAGCTTGCCTCCTTGGTGCAGTGGCTTTTATGGACCCAGGGCCCAACCATAGGCATCGATCTGTCCCATAGGGTAAAACAGACACTTTAAGGTTTAGGGGTGGAGCCGAGTGGTAGAGCACTTGCCTTGCATGCACAAACCTAATTTGATCCCCAACACCCCCTGCCGAGACTTTAAAAGCCAGATGCAGTGGCAACACCTCTAGTCCTAACTTTCAGAAGCTAAAGCAGGAGGTTGAAAGTTCAAGGAGAGCCTTGGCAATATGAGGAGATCCTATCCTTAAAAAAACAAATCAAAACAAAAAACATTAAGAAAAAACATATTTTGCCTTCATATAAAATTGTTGCTCATAATTTAGAAAAATAGAGAATGGATATAGTCAGAAGTTTGAAAACACTTAGTTTGAAAACACTTAGACTAGTTCTAGGGTTTTAAATTCTCACTGTACCCAAGAGAAATGAACACGGTTGTATCTACACAAAACCCAAAGTTTAGAGATAACCAAAAATGTCTCCCAGCAGGTGAATCATCAGTTATAGTTATATATCTTTATGGTAGAAAATGATGAAAGGAATGAGCTATAACTATAACGTGAATTAATATCTGAATAATCTAAATGAAAATGAATGGGCTATGTGATCTCGTGTATAAAACTATAAAATACCAACTGTGATGACAAAAAACAGACGGTTAGCTTTCAGGGGTGGGAGCAGAGGGTAGTGCAGCAGGAGAATGTTAAGGGAATGATTATCTTTATCGCAGTGGGAGTTTCAGAAGTGTACACACTGTGTGCTTTCTGTACAACTTGTTACTCAAACCTCAGGACAGCGGTTGAGCACTTAGAGTGTCTAAGCGGTGGTGTTCTGTTTCTTGTCACTGGATGTTTCAGGTGTCAGCTGAGCATCCGTGCCTTGAGTGTGCTGTCTGTAATATGTGCATGTGCTATGTGTATCACTGGTCTTGTCTCAGGATATTCGTTGTATGCCAAATAATGCTACCACCCATCACCACCAGTAAAAGAGCTTTTTTTGATCCTCTCAAGTTCAGTCTACATGAATCTTTGAGATATTTTTGTAGCCCTTCTGGAGCTGAGGTATCTGCTTAGTTAACTTGTAATGATTTGCCTTCTTATTCACACTCTTGAGTTGCCTTTCTTTTGTGAGTTGGAGTAGGTGGTTCCGCAGTATCTGCTGACAGTATAAATTCGGTTGTTAAATCAAGCAAAAAGGCAAGATTAAGGCTGGGTGCAGCAGCACACACCTGTAATCCTAGCTGTTCACGAGGCTGAGAGGAGAGGACTGTGTTTAAGGCCAACCTAGACAACAAGGTTAGACTCCATCTCAAAAAAAATCCAAGAAACAAACAACACAACAACTTTGCCAAAAGATTAGCTTTGAACAAGTATAGTGCCAAAATTCAGGGAGCAAAAACGTGGTGAGTCTAGTCAGCACATAACTCTTAGGTAGCCCGTTCACTTCAGTCAGTGGTGCTTTACAGGTTAGTAAATATACTGGTTTCGTTCCCGAGTCACTTCTTGTAGCTTTGTACAATGAGAGTGGAAGGGATCAAAAGGAGAGGGCGGAAGAGAAACGGAAAGCATCTCCGGCAGCGCTGAGAGGAAACCGGCTTCGACGTACTTTCTGAGACTAGACGGAGGTTGTAAAGATGAATGTGAGGGAACCCCTTCAGAGGGCCAGGGAGAGGCGGCCGGCGCTGTCCAAGTCGCCCGCCGTGCGCGGTGGTGTTTGTCCTTAGTTTTGTGTGCACAGGAAGTAGAAATGGGTCTGAGTGGCCAGGAACGCCACTGTGTCGTGTTTGGAGTATCAGACCATGATGCTGCGACGGAGAACGGAGCCGGGACCCCGTTCCAAGTCAGAGAGTTCTCCGAAGCGCCCTGCCCAAGGCCAGAGATGGTTGATTTGTAGTGATTCCACTCTGGATAGTTGTGTGTCACCCCCCCCCCCAATTTCTCAACAGTAAATCAAAATATCAAAATGAATCTCAGTATCAAAATGAGGCAGGCACATTTTAGCACTGATTGAGATTGCAGTCTTCTGGGGTTGAGATAAAATTATATGGTATGTACATCTGGAATCTGAAAGATACTTGTATTTGTTTCAGATGATCACTTATGAGGTCAGTTGTGTAGAGAAGGAGGGAGAAAGAAGAAAAAAGAAGCCAGATGAGAGCTGGTGGAGAGGGCAAGCAGAGAGAAGGGCCTGGGAGCCACTGCGCTTGGAGGGCTCACTAGGAGAGGGGCGTAAAGGAAGTAGAAAAAAACGTTGCAAGATTCCTGGGGGAGAGGTTCTAAGCCAGTTCTGGGATGTGACTGACGCAGCTGATGATTGAAATACATGAACTAAGCGGTCAGCATCATTGCGGTGTAGGCGAATCCAGGAATTTCAGCTTTGGGTTATTAGGAGTTTGTACCTGGTTGTGGACAGTTCCAGGATGACAGGTGCTGCTTCTGAAGAAGTGAAACATGCTCACTGGCCTGAACGTGGTCTGAGATTGCAGAGGTAGCTTGGTTTCAGATAAGAAGATCCTGGTGGCCGTGTAAGTGGAGCGATGGAGGTAGGTGTAAGGGAAGCCCTGTGGACGCCGAGAGGCGTACCGAGCCGTTACGAGGCATGAGACACGTATGTGCGCAATGGCGTGAGGCCCTGGACCGGGCTCCAGAACTGTCCCACACGTAAGGTGCAGTAACTCGGGAAAAGCACTTCACTTTGTCGGGCAAAGGGGCAGACTACTGAGGCATTAAGCGGAGACCGTGGGACCATTCTCAGAATGTCAGGCTTTTAAAAATAGACGGGGAGGATAAAACATACGACATATTAAAGAAAAGGAATTTTATTGGTATACTTATCAAAATATTAAATAAAAAATTTTGATACAACATGTACTTCATTATCAATGTATAAAACTCTCTAGAAGCATGTCTTAACTAATCCAGTGCTGCAGTCACAGGGAGCAAGTACGGTGTTTTAAGGGGTTTGCACCATCTACATTGTGTTCTGTTGATGAAAATTCAGGTCCAGTGGATACTGTTGTGTTACTTACATTCAGATACGCAAAATTTAACTTAAAGTTTAACAAAATTAAGGTATAATTTTTTTTGCCTCATCCAAATTCACAGACCTTTGAATTCTCTCATTCTGGTTAAGGAACTCTAGTCTTAAGAGGTGATATACCCTGGATGTATCACCTGGATATATAAAAAGTAGTGGGTTTCGCATGGGAGAAGTCGAAGTGTTGGCGCGGCAGTGGAGAGCTAGGAGGCTGTGTGTGCACCTGGACGCTGTGGTGAGTGTGGTAGTGAGTTGGAAGCGACATAGGACTGTGCAGCAGGGGCAGAGTTGGCTCGGGAAATGGGCAGGGTGCTGGGCCCGTGTGCTTCGTGATTTTTTTAAAAAAGGCTTGTTTCAGATCAGACCAAAAAAGTGGAGGGAGAGGAAGCCGAGGGGCACAGTGAGAACCTTAGCAGAGCAGTGAGCAGGGCACAGGTGAGAGAATCAGGGCACTGGCAGTGAAGGTGGTGGAGTTCTGCAGAGTGGCAGGAGCTGGTGGAGGCCCTGGCCGTGTGCACACTGTGCTCCCCACGGTTTAGAGGCCTGTTGGGGCGGGCCGCGGAGAGTCATCAAAGTCGCAGCCCGCAGCGTGTACTTACATTTCCAGGTGGAAATCTGCTGAGCAATTGTTGGATGCCCTTGAAAACATAGTACCCCATTTTAAGCATGGTTATGGTGAAGAAACTTGGGTTCATATTTTTACTTCTGGTCCCTTTTTTTTTTCCTCCTTTGTCCCTGATAGATGATAAAACATACTCTGTCTAGCCCAAGATCGAAAAGCCTGAAGTCAAAGTGAGACACTTGATAGCACAGTACAACACGGTGTTGGGGTGGCGGGGAACGGTTGGTGTCTTACAGTAAATCATCAAATGTTTTTTTCTGCTTCTTTATTTTTATTGCTGGCCCCAAACACACAAAACCATATCAGCATTGGTGAGTAAATACAAACTTTAAGAATTATTTTTAAAGACCACATTTGCCATTTTATTCCAACAGAATAAGGGAAATAGCAAAGTAGAGCTAGCAAAATATGTATATTTTTGGCTTAATAAACTAGACAGACTTCCAATTAATAAAACTTAATTTTCCACTGCTTCAAATGTATAGAAGAATTTGGTCATTCTGATAGGGAAATATATTCACTTTAAATGTTAAGGGGCTGGGGATTTAGCTCAGCGGCACAGCGCCTGCCTGGCAAGTGCAAGGTCGTGAGTTCAATTCCTGGTACCAGAAAACAACCAAAAAAAAAACTAAAGTAAACGTTAATACTGAAACTTTGTATGTATGTACTTAATCACTTTAATATGCATTTTAGTTAAGTCTGACAATAAATTTGTTAATTCATAGATTGATTCTCTTTGTATTTGCTGTTTATTGAAGGAATTAGCTCTCCGTAGCCAGTTGCCAACCCTGGAGCAGGATGGTGGGACTCAGAACCCAGTGTCTTCCCCCGGCATGTCTCAGGAATTAAGAACAATGACGACCAACAGCTCAGATCCCTTCCTTAACAGGTCGGTGAGAGTGCTGCTGACAAGTATCTGAAAACGGTCATAGCTTTAAGGTTTTTCTATTTAAGAGCTTGTCATAGGCTGTTTTGAACTTTTACGTGGGCCAAAAGCCATAGCTATAAATGAATCTCTCCATAAATGGCAAGTACAGTAAAAGCTGAGACTTGAAAGCCGTCTCCTGTAGGAGGAAGTAAGCTGTTCAGACTTGTGTAGAGGGTACTGCTGGTCACAGCGTGTTTGCTTCTGCCTGTACTGTGGGCTGATAGTTACTTAAAAACTAAACATAAAAGAACATGTGAAACTTCTCTGTGAAAGCAGGTAAACTGTACCTTAAGCCTAATTATGATTGCATTTTAGCATCATAGGCAGAAATTTACCACATAGCCATTCAACCTGAGAGATTTCATCCAGCCCACACTATAAGGCCTCGTGTTCTCCTAAGGACTATAGTCCAGGGAGATGAGATACAAAGTTGTGCCTCTTTCTTTTTTTCTTTTTTTTAATTCTAAAGAATATATATATAAAAAATAACAATAACAACAACATAGAAGAAAACAAAACAAAGCAAAAACAGTAAAAATGATACAGGATTTCAAAACAATGATAGTAATTAACAGTAGCTGTTATATTATTACATAGGGTTCTCTTCAACGAAGTTGCTCAGATTGCCAGATGTAAGAATGCAAGATTGGTCAAACCATTAAAGAGAATAAAAAATAATAAAACAAAGTACATTAGAAATGATACAGAGTTTCACTAGACAAGATGGTAGGAATTTACCAGTGGTTGTGATATTGCATATTGTTGTCTTCAGATTAGTTGTTCAGATTGCCAGATATAATAAATTCATCAAAAGTATTGGCAGTATTTGAAAAATAACAGCTGAGGATGCTTCCTAGTAAATTACCACAGGTATTGGGTTTCATACAGATTGTAGTATGTAAACTGCTGTGTTGACAACTGAAATCTGAAACTATTTCAGCCTGGGAAGCCATTTAATATTGATTACAATTCACTCTTCTAGGTTTATAAAATACCTGTGGAGTTTCATTTTTTAAAATATGTGGCTTTGAATTTTTTTTCCCCTTTTATCAATTTTAAGCAACATGCTTTTTAAAAGATACTTTGGTTTAGAAAAGCTGTTATGTCACCTTTTTATCTCTCTCCAGTTGAACTAAAAACTTCATGATCCTAAGAAAAACAAAATATTTTATTCTGCTAAAAATATTCAGAACAGTGGAGTGTATGTCCCATTGTTCTCCCAATCTTGTGCTGGTAGCCTAGTTGGGAATTTTTAATTTGAAAGTCTTCTCAAGTATATTATAAGTTTGTATTTAACCTTCTGACAAACGTGTACACACAGTATTTAAAAGTTCAGCATCAAACTGAGAGTAGGAGCTGGGCATGGTGGCGCACGCCTGTAATCCCAGCACTCCCAAGGCTGAGGATCGTTTCGAGTTCGAGACCAGCCTGGGCTACAAAGGGAGCTCAAGGCCAGCCTGAGCTGCATAGCGAGACCCTGTCTCAAAAAGACAGAAATAAAAAAGATAAAAAAATGAAAGTGAAGTAAGATTGAGAGTGTTTCCACAAGTCTGTAATTCTGAACTTAAGCTGCAGCTAACGAGGAAGGGTCCTGGGTGCAACGCTGTGTTCTCTTTCACGAGGGAAGTTTCAGGTCGGCAGGCCCGGTGCCCATTTCCGGGAGGGCCTGTGTTGGTGCAAGGTAAAATTAAACTACCTTTTAAATAAGCGGGTAGACTGCATATCTTTGTGTCAGTCCCTTGTGCAAGTTCCTTTCTTAAAACTGTTGACGAGCTGGGCTGTAGTGTGAGATTCTTTCCTGGTAAGGTCACAGTGTAGTAGATGATCAGTTTACTGTTTTGAGGAGCAGCTTGTACAGTTAATCTTCACAGTACCCCCAGTTTCTGAAGCACATACCTAACTGTGGGTTTTTTGGTGGGTTTTTTTTTCCCCCTTAAAAAATGCTTTTGGTAATTTCTCTGTGACTTACCAGTTGACTTACACTGACCTGTTAGGCTGTAAGCATCTCTGTTCCCCTCACTGGGCAGGGAATTGACTCTGACGAGTGATGCAGCGTTCCGTTACCTCCTTCTTGTTTGAGACCCTTGGAGGCCGACTCCGATCGCCCTCTGTGAAGTCTTGTCCTTTACACATGTAATTCAGACAGCCCTGTGTGTAATTTGTCGGTATATTGTTCGTGTTCCCACCAAAACTGTGAGCTTCCTAGAAACTACCATTTGTAGTTTGTTGTTGCCCTCTAGCACCACGGCTCACCTAGTGCCTGTGATAAAGTAGCAGATACTCAGCGAGTGCTTGCTGAGTGAGTGGGCCTTGCAGGAGGTAGGGGTCTGTAGGGAGTGATTTCTAGTCAGGAAATGGCCCTGTGAACTCTCCAGGGGTGCCCGTGTGCTTCCCCTCTAGGTGGGACTCTGCACGGCTCTGTAAGTTCAGCTTCTCTGTAACGGACAGAGGCATCTAACGTGTGCCCCGTGCTGGAAAGCAGTGAGGACAGAAGAGATTCAGACAAGGCCCTTCTCCCACCTCAGGGCGTTTCACTCCCTGAGGCCTTCTCATGCGTGGCTGTGTTGTGTACACAGTCTGACACCAGTTGGTGCTTTCTTGCATGTGTGTAAGGCTTTTGCGTCTTGCCTAAGTCGGGCAGGAGCGTGTGGTGAACCGGTGGATACAGTATCCAGCGAGGGAGCGGGAAGACACTGAACCCTTCACGGGGAAGAGGGGCTCAGCCTTTAACCTCTGACAAGGAAGGCGTAGGTGTACTCTTAAACTTTCATGATAAGTTAAACAGTTGCTTAAATGTATAAGATGCAGGGGAATTAAATTCATGTTCAGAAACCATTAAGAAAAGTAACAGTTGCCCAAGATTTTTGTAAAACTCAGTTTTGCTGTTAGTGTCAGCTGATGTCTTCGTGGTACTAGATAAGGAAGAAAGTGTTCTATTTGTGAAAGGGATGTTCTCAGGATAGTTACTACTCCTGTGTGTAAATCGGGGATTTTTTTCACTTAGCCTAAAGTAAAAATCTGTTTTGGCTTATGTTTTTCCTCAAGCGATGTGCTTTGTAGTGTCTTGTTCTGTTGATCTTCCCTACAACTGGAGCTGTATGGCTGAGGATTCTGGGTTCTTAGCCCCACCACAACGGAAGCGAGAAAGTCAAGCTGCAGGAATTCTATCTCAGTGGCAGTGACTCATCCGTTTTGGCCCAGTCAGAAAAGGAATTCTGGTTCTTTATTTTGGATTGGTTTTTCTTTGGCTTAAGTTCTCTGTATGAGAGCTAGGGATTTGAATAAGAGTCTAGTGCAGGCCTGTCTCACTGCCTCGCTGGAGCTGTGCTTCTGACCTCTCTGCGGTGTTACCACCACCTGGGAATTGAGACTTTGGAACCAGCAAGGTGTATGTGCAGCTTGTTAGACCCCGCACCGCTGCTCCTTCTTCCCCCGCCCCCATCGTCAGACGGTGTCCAGAGAGAGAACCCGTGCAGAAACTTTGTCAGCTGGGGAAACCAACTGGATCTGTCATTTTTCTGTCACGGGCACAAAACAGAAACCCTTCGAGCTGCCAGCTTCAATTAGGATTAACTTGTCTATTTTGTTTCATAGTTTCGGGCTTGCATGGCCCTGAAGGAGAATGCTTGTTTTAGGCATTGCAGGGTAAGAATTTTACTAATCCTTTTGGAGAATCTTGATACTCAGCAGGTATTTATTTTGCCTTGAACTGATGTAAATTTTTTATCGTTGATTTTTTTGAAGTCTTTGTTTGTATTGTTTTAGTTTCTGTTAGTACAAGTTTGCAGTGCGCAATGCCTGCATCCATCACGGGGAGCTGGTGCAGGTGCAGAACACACCGCTTCCCGCCCCGTTCCCTCCGCGCCCCGGCACGGTCGTTAACGGTGGCTGTCCTTGTGGTTGTGGTTGCAGTGGCACCTATCACTCTCGGGATGAAAGCACAGACAGCGGGCTAAGCATGAGCAGCTACAGTGTCCCTCGGACGCCGGATGACTTCCTCAACAGTGTGGACGAGATGGACACAGGTCAGTACTTCCGCCCCTCGTAGAACCCTGGCTTCAGCCACGTGTTACCACCCGAGCTGGTACCGTGCTCTGAGCAAAGGTTAATGAGAAAAAAGCAACTAAAACTATGTATACCTCAGTGCAGATTGAGGCCTCTTTATTTTCTATATGGTGATTTGTAATTTAAGTCTTTTCCTAGTTTTTACCTATCATGGATTGGGTATCTTAGCTCTATTTGGATAAAACTGACAACATATTTTAACATGTAAGTTGGCAAGGTCATTGAGGTCTTTATTAGAAGTCTCCTTTCCTCATTATAGGTTCATGTTCTGAATTTTGGAGATTTGTATTCTTAATTTCCATGGGAGTCATTGTCTGCCTCTCCCTTTTCTCTAAGGATTTTTGGTCTAATTTAGGTGTTATGAAGCTCAGGAAATTGGGTGGGAAAGGCTTGGTGGTAAGCCCCACCTACTTTATTGTCCAAATATTTATGGAAGTCTTGCAGGGCCTAAGAAATAGCTACCTTGCAGGCGTAATTAAGGAGCCATTTCTCGGGGCTGGGGATTTAGCTCAGCGGCAAAAAGCGCCTGCCTGGCAAGCACAAGGTCGTGAGTTCAGTTCCTGGTACCGGAGAAAAACCAAAAAAAAAAAAAAGGAGCCATTTCTCCTATGACTTACGGTGACGATGGCCCTGAGTTTGACAACTGTCAGAGCATAAGAATGGCAAGCAGCTCTTTGGCCAGCTAGGTCTTTAGCGGACAGCTTGTCTTCTGAAAATGGTTGGCAAGTCTTCGTCTCCGTGCTTGCCCAGCTCCTGGCAGTGACGCTTCCTTGCACCCATACCACCTCTGGGAGCCACCTCACCGCCAGCGTTGTGCCACTTACCTGCGCTGCACGCATCTTCACTTTTCCTCCGAACCCTTATATGAACTCCTCCGGTTCTTCTGAACACACGCTCTGGTGACATTCTGAAGAATGTTAATGTAGTCATACACAAAAAAGGTTCTGCAGCCAGGTTAGTTTGGGAGATCTAGAAACAAGGTTAGAAAGATTTGAAGTTCTGGGTAGCTCGTCCTGTTATTACGAATGTAAATCTTCGTGACTAGAATATTTTATTTTAGCGTCGTCTGAAGTGTATGTAAGGGAAGAGCAAGTCTGTGCTGTCCCGGAGCACGTGGTCTCACTGCGAATCAGCCGCAGGGAGGCTGCTGCAGGGTTGCTGGCTCTTCTTCCTCTGCTGCAGATACTTTTTAAGGGACTTTTTCACAACGCCTTCACTGCCTCACGCTTACCAATAAGCATTCAGACCATACACTGAATATCTGAGCAGTGTTAAAGTAAACTTGACGCTGTCATTTCATTATCTGTGTGTTGTTTGAATAAATTCTGAGTATCAGTCCAAGTCAGTCGGGGGTGCTTGCTTTCTCTTTCCATATGTGTATGCTCATATGCTGCTGCTCTGATGTTGGGTTTTCAAAAACTTACCATATTATCCTTCTCTCTCTGTCCCAACTAGGTGATACTATCAACCAAAGCACCCTGCCCTCGCAGCAGAGCCGCTTCCCAGACTACCTTGAAGCCATTCCCGGAACCAATGTGGACCTTGGAACACTGGAAGGAGATGGGATGAACATAGAGGGAGAGGAGCTGATGCCCAGTCTGCAGGAGGCTTTGAGTTCCGACATCCTTAATGACATGGAGTCTGTCCTGGCTGCCACCAAGCTAGACAAAGAAAGCTTTCTTACATGGTTATAGAGCCCTCAGGTAGACTGAACTCTAAATCTGTGAAGGATCTAAGGAGATAAGACATGTGTGCCTGAAATTTCCAAATAAGCCCGTTACGTTTTTCTGGCTAATACAGAAAAAGATGAACAAACGTCCAGCAAGATCCTTTCATCCATTACTTTGCTCTTCCTTGTCCGTTGCTGCTGTTAATGTATTGCTGACCTCTTTCACAGCTGGCCCTAGAGAGTCAAAAAAAGTTTTTTGTTTCTTTTGCTATTGTAACTACTGTTCGTTTGCGGGCTGGGGAATGAGCCTGTTTGGATGATGGATGTCATTCCTTTTGCCCAGTTAGGTGTTCACTGATCATAACTATTTAGACTTGGAAGTCAGAATGCTTCATGTCACAACATTTAGTTCATTCAAGTAGTTGTTCTTCAGCTGCCTTTGGTCAGTGGCAAACATGCCTTCTGGTCTGACAAGCCAAAAATGTTGTACCTGATACGAAATACTTAACGCCGATTTGAAGAGAGAGCTTAAACCAAGGCTGAGGACTGTTTTACTTTCAGTGTTTTTTTTTTTTTTTTTTCCTTAGTGCTATCATTAGTCACATAGTGACCTTGATTTTATTTTAGAAGCTTGTAAGGCATGAGTCAATTTCCATAGAAATATATTAATTATTGCCACATACTCTAGTATAGGTTTGGGTGGATATTTTTGTGGGTGTTTTATTTTTTGTTCGGTTCTTTTGGGGGGGTTTCAGAACTTACGCAAATTACTATATTAGTGAATCTGTTTATAATTGTAGCTTGAGGAGGTTATTGTAGTTTCATGAAACCTATATTTCCTGATTTTTGCCATCTTATTTAAATCTTGATTGTCTGCTTTTTCTATATATTCACACACTTATAATGTTTATAATAGTGTGATAGCAGAATGTATCTGTTTTTAGGTTTCCCTACTTTCCAATTTATTTTTTAAGTGGTAGCTTTGAATGTACGCATTTAGAATACATGGCTAGTAGTTTATATTTCACAAGTAGTTTACTTCAGGTTAGGGAAATCTACAAATGTTTGAGATAGTTCAGTATTCTAGAAAAGGTATCACTATGGACAGTGCCTGGAGTACGCTGTACTCGCTAGACAGGTGATAGATACTATCTGATGAACTGAAAAGGGGCAACAAAGAAATGGCTTAATCTCCCCTTGGACTAATCTGAATCTTTATGGGAAATTACTGAGTAGGTTTGAAATGTACATGGCAGAAGTAAGCTTTATAGTGGTTTACCTTCCCTTAGCTCTAGAAGTTTACCTTCACCTTAGTTTTGGAAGTAAATTCTAGGACTTTAGTTCTCATTTGTAATGAACACAGTAAATACTAATAGGTTGAAATAAGATTTTATAAGATTTGCTCCTACTTTTGTATGCTGAAAATTGACCCTGGGTAGTATGTAGAATACTGTAAGGTCATGAATTAGCTGGTAAAGTGATCAGATTAATAAATGTATATTGGTAGCTGAATTTAGCAAAGAAATAGAGATAATCATGATTATGCCTTTATTTTTACAGGAAGAGATATAACTAGAGTATGTGTCTACAGAAGTAATAATGGCTTCCAAAGAGTATTTTTTAAAAGGAACAAAATGAGTATGAATTAACTCTTCAATATAAGCTATGAAGTAGTAGTTGGTTGTGAATTATAGTGGCACCAGCTAGCCCCTCTGTGATTTAAAGGTCTTTTCAGTGCTTCTAAAATAAGCCCTTATTTTCAAGGGTTTATAAAGGACAAATTCTCCTTTCCTGGCTAAAGCTGCTATGAAAAGCCTCAGCTTGGGAAGATAGGGTTTTTGGGTTTTGGGCTTTGGGTTATGGGTTTTTTTTTCCAGTTACAAAATCTAAGTATTTTGACCCTTCAGTTTGGAGGAGTGCAAAAGTGGAAGAAAGAAGTTTTATTTTAAATACTTTCAGTGCTCAAAAATAATGCAATCACTGTATTGTATATAATGATTCATAAACTGATGGTTTATCATAATTGACTACAGAATTTATTTTAAAAACAGCAAAAAGATTCGATCTTGAGTTAAGTCTGGGGGGATATGGCCACTGTGCAGATGCATTGAGTCGTGGAACAATAATGAAATTCTACCTGGAATGCAAAATTGAGCGTATGGATGATGCAGAATGTTGTGGGGGTTGCTCATGTGCAGAAGATCAAAGCTACTTAGGAGAGCCTGCGGTTTGCCAGTGAGATACGCATTAAGATCACATCTTATATATATCAGCGGAGTAGCGTTAGGTTAGCGGGAGGGTGGGAAGGTGGGTGTGGGTCGTGCAGAGTTAGTGGGACCTTGATAGAAAACTTTATAAATTTCTTTCTCTTTAGTAGAGACTTGTCTTGCATCTTGCCGTCATTAAGGACAGTTGTTCCTAAAATTTCAATCACTTAAATACACCCACAGAGCGGGAATACGTAGTCTTCATTTCCCCTGGACTCACTGCTCAGTCACCCCGCAGGGCTGCAGCAGCCTCTGTTCCTGACACGGGCTTCGATCTTGTCCTTTGTACAGAACTGAAGGCGACTAAGAGTCCTTCCTCCTCCTGAGTGTGAACCACAGCCTTCGTGTGGTCTCTCTTGCTTTGTGTCCTTTCTCCTAATGTAAAAGTGTTTTAATGCTTCTTGGTTGTATTGGGTAGCATGGGGATAAGATTTTAACTGGTTATTCTTGAATTGCTTTTACAATAAACCAATTTTATAATCTTTAAATTCATCCGCTTTTTATATTTGTGTCCTTTCCAGTTAGCGCTTCTTAGATCTAGTTTATGATTAACAGAGCACATTGATTGGAGGTTTCAGATCTTCTGAAGCACTATTTGTTGTAATAACTGTTTTCTAACCACACTGCCTTTAAAAATAACAAAGTGACTGTGATAGAAGTAGTGTTCCTGTCTTAAGTACTCATATTAAATAGATGCATTCTCCATGGAGCATGAGTCTGAAAAATAGCAGGAATTGTGTTAAGTCAGAATTCATACAGATCAGTGTTGAAACTTAAAACAGTGCAAAAACAGAAGGCAATATCCAGCGATTAACAATTTCATAGCTCTCCTACATCAGAAAATGAGTACTCAGCTAAATTTTATCTTTGCAAGCATGTTTTTATAAGAATTGTGGGTGTGCCTACCTTAACAATTATTTCCTGTATCTTGAAAAAGTATTCTCCACATTTTAAATGTTTTATATTAGAGATTTCTTTAATGCACACTTGTCAAATATATATATATATATATATATATATATATATATAAAACCAATGTTACTTTTCGTTCTGTTTTAGATGTAAGAGCATGCTCATGTTAGGAACTTACATAAATTGTTACATTATTTTTTTCTTATGTAATATCTTTTTGTTTGTTTATGTGGTTCAAATATATTCTTTCCTTAAACTCTTTCTTGTTGTTTTTAGCAGTTGAAAACATTTAAAACGTTTTTGTCTTACCAGTCTCCCAACAGAGTAAGAACTACCACTAAAGTTACAGAACAAATTGGCAGGCAGAAAGTTGGTTTTATTTCCTAGAGTTAGGTGTGGCATTTGAAACCGAATATAGGTACAGTTCTTTGAATGTTACGCTCCTCGCACACGCCGCCGTGTCAGTAGCAGTGTCAAAGCAGAGCTGTGTCTGCCTCCCTTAAGTGACTGCACCACGCGTAACCGCACAGAGGGAACGGCGCTGCATGACGTTGTTCTTCCGGTGGCCTTTGGTTTTATTTCTCTAAATATTCCCTCAGCTTTCAAAACAGAACACTTACATTAGTGAGAGGTATTACATAACGTGTCAAAAAGATCGACAGATTTAAGTGTTTATCTTCAATTATTGATACGCGTCGATTTTGGCAAGGCAAATTTGAAAAGTTTTATGTTTTGCTATATATAATTTATTTACATTGGTAGAATACTAATTTTCAGGGGATTGACGCTGTTTCCCTTGTTTCGTACAAAGTAGAGTGATCACAGACACCACCTCAAAGCCACACCTGTGACTGGGGGTGTGGCGGAGTGACAGAGTGCGTGCGTCATGTGATTGAAATCCGAGATTCAGTCCCTAGCACCAAAGGAAAAAGCTGCCTTTTGTCTGCAGCACTGTGCCTCTTACTAGGGAGTTTTTCCAGGGAACCGAACAGGCTGGCTGTGTTGGTACCAGCAATAACTAGTAATGAAAGGAAACCTAGGCGCTTACTGCAGGGGTGCTGGGTGGGGTGGTGGGTTGGGTTGAGTTCTGCCTGTTTCCATGTCTTAACAGCCGAGATTGCAAGACAGGAGAAGTCCTACCTTCCCAGTTGCATTTTTGTTTCTTCTCTAAAGTCAGTCAGAGACTCTCCCTGGCCCTGAAAACTGGGCTTTGTTGGACTGAGTTCAGGTACTGCTATTCTTCGGCTCCAGGCCTCTACATATACTAATGCTGAAGCTCTGGCAGGGTGTCTGCCATGGATGGCACCCCCGTCCCACTTTAAGCTGCTGACATTCAGTCTCTATTTTAGTGTGAGACACTTCCAGTAAGCCATCTTCTGAGTTCAAAGTATAGTGAATTAAAAATGCAGTGAGAGAGCCAGGGCCAGTGGCACATCCTGTACTTGGAGCTACTCCACAGGCTGGGGGAGGCTGTGATTAGGGTGGTGGAGTACGTGAGACTCTGGTTGGATCCCTGACATTGCCGCAGCACACACACACACACACACACATGCACACACACTACTGTGATATAGCCAAAATGGGTAATTGCCTAACCATAAACATAGCCCTTAGCTGGAAGACTTAATCTTGCCACAAATACAGTTACTAATAAACAAGATGATCCTGAAAAGATGGCAAGTTTTACTCTCTGCCATATTTTAGTAAATTCCCAAACTAAGCGACCTTATTTCCAAGCTGCTGTGACTCTTGTTAAAAGCCAAAACAACATCCAAACAATCCACGTATCGTCTGTGCCGTACTGGAAGCAGTATTTGGAGAACTCTAAGGAAAGGGATTACTTATACAAAATTACAAAGCAACTGTTTTGGTACTTAAAGCTGTTATTTTAAAGTGAAACCAGCCAGGTGTGGTGGCATATGCCTGTAATCCCAGCTACTTGAGGGGCTAAGGCCAAAGGGTCTCTAGTTCAAAGCTGGCCCAGATAACTTAGCAAGACTGTCTCAAAATTAAAAAGAAAAGGCACCAGGGATGTAGTTCAGTGATCGAGCGCATGCCCAGCATGTAGGAGGCTCTGGGTTCATTCCTCAGCACCAAAACAAAGCGAGGCCAGGAGCAGTAACACACAAGTGAGGGCCCAGCTAGTGGGAGAGACTGAGGCAAGGAGGTCACTTGAGTCCAGGAGTTTTGGGTCAGTTTGGGCAATATAGCCAAGTTTCATCTCCAAAAGTAAAAGTGGAAGTGTTAAAAACTGGAGTTACTGTAGCTTTGTGAAATTGTTGGTTTATATACAAAAGGAGTGGATGCACAGGGCTTGATTCTAAAAGTAAACTTTTAAAATTAACGGATTTCTTAGGGTTCTGATGCTCCTTTCTGCATATATCCTCACCCTTAGACTGTTCCATCGTACAGTTCCCTGAACTTCATAGAATCTATATAAATTAACCTTTCTATTTAAATACCTCCTTGGGTCTAATTTTTCATTGCGGGTATTATTAGAAGCCACATCTCAGTTTCTTTTAAGGTGTTTGCTCAATTTCAAGGCAGGTTCTTAGTTATAGTGGACTTACACAGGATTGATTTTTGGTTTTTCTCCGGTACCGGGAACCGAACTCACGACCTTGCGCTTGGCAGGCAGGCGCTTTTGCCGCTGAGCTAAATCCCCAGCCCCCTTACACAGGATTGAAACGATGGTCAGTGTGGCCAGTTAATTTTCACAAAGATGAGGATGCAGTAGTAGAATCTGAGGAACAACACTCACATTCCAGTACTGTCTGCACGAGCAGAGAGGCCCCTGGGAAACCTGCCTAGTGATCACTTCTCCTTCCACCTTGGGGTTTAAGTAACTCGGGTTTTAAGCATATCTTTCTGCTGAAGGGGGGTAAGTACAGCAGCGAGGGCAACAGCAACATGTGGTGGGCTGCAGGACCCAATGATGTCCAGAGGACCACAACTCTGGGGGGCGGGGGTGACCGTGAATTAAAATGTCAGGTTCCGTTAGAGACAGTCACGTTCAAGAGCAGCCGGAGCACTAAGCAGTCTGAGGGTTCCCACGCAAAGCCGCGTGAGTGTGAGTTTGGAGACGCCGTTTCCTTTGCTAAGGTGCTTTCTCTGTTGAACACCAGGAAGTCTCGAGCCTTACCCAACCCCAGGGAGACGGCCTAGAGGAAAATCTGGGCTAGGGATTTTGCTGTTCTGTAATCCACATCACTGAACAATACAGCTGTTATCTGTGCTCGGCAGAGGAATTTCTGTGGGGTTTTCAGAAGATCAGCGTGAGCCCACGTGCTGTCTGTGCAAAACAGCTGATGTTTCAGCAGGGTGTGCGGACAGCGAGCCCGGAACTCGGGCACACCCGGCCCCAGAGCGGAGCGGTGGTCAGCCAAACTTGGGGCATTGTTTAAAGTTCCTGATCAGATCTCTGTCAGTCTCCCAAAATTACTGAAGTAGAAGTCCCAAATCTGGCCATTTCCACTTTTCCCTTAAGTGCTAGCCTGCGGAGCATCGCGCATTTGAAAAGCAGATTACTCCAGTTGAGGTCTTGCAGCCGTCATTACTGTGGGAACTGAAGCCTCTGAGACGCTTTTCCTATTGAGTATAGGGAAAATACTAACTACAGTTTACACCATCTCAGACCAAGTTATAATTATCAGAACACTGCCACATAGCTTACTTGATTGTACCTAGATCCTGTGAAGTGAACCTAGATGCCACACTGGCTGCAAGACTCGGGGACTTTTAGGGTGTAGCACATAGCTAGGAAGTATTTCCCGTGTACTTGCACAAGGCCGACCATCTTCCGTGGGCTTCACCTTGTCTCCTTGGTTCTAAGCTTCCGCGCCCCTGGCTCCACGGCCAGCAGGCCCTTGTCTCCCGCACAGAACCCTAGGAAGATTACCGCAACAGTCCAGAGTGAAAATGAAAAAAAAAATGCTCTAATAGGTTGTTAAATTTGAGACCCTTTAAAAATCCTATGTACATTTGTCCAGTAGACCTTTTGCCAGGTAACAGTCTAGTCTTGGGTAATTAATAGTATGGTAACTTCCGTAAGGGGATTGCAAGCCTGCATCGTGGTAGTGGGTGGTTAACACAGTGTACCATGGCAGCACGGTCTATGGGGAGACCTTCCCCCGGAATGATGAGGAACGGCTTCCTAAGTGTTACTGAAGCTGGACATGGTTAGGACTAACCCAGCAGAAGTGACAAAGCGTAAGGTGGGCAAACTAGGACTGAGGAGGGAGAAGTACATGGGCTGTGAATATTTAACAGATTAATTCATTTAACAATTCGAGTGTCTAGCTGAGCAGGGTGACACCTAATCTCAGCTACAGGAGGCTGAGGTGGAAAGACCGTGAGTTCCAAGTACAGCCTGCGCAGCAAAGTACTCTTCAAACGTATCTAAAATGTGTCAGGCACTGTTCTGGGAATATAGAAACGAACAAAACACGCACATTTTGCCCTTGTGTGGTCTGTGTTCTCGACAGGCCGGCATCAGATAAAGACAGGTCGTGCCACGTTCCCAGCCTACACCCCGGCCCTTTACCGAGCAAGCCCCTTCAGCTTACCTGCTTTAACTCCGC